CTTCAATGAATTTGTTTACAAATTTTTGCTGCTCATTTTTGTAATTTTGAATATTGTTTTATTGTTTGCAAACTCTGACGTTATTAAAAATAAAATCTCTTGTATTGTCATGTCAGCTTTATAAACAATTTTTAAGTTTCAAACTTGCAATGTGGCTATTCATTTGAGATTTAAGAATTTAAGACATTTAATAAAAATGGCTGTTGTTTGTTTACATCTGAGAAGAACAAACTGGTTTTCATTCCAAATGTACAGATGCTGTCATCTTTCAGCAAATAAGCCTTTAGATTTATTGGAATTTAAAGGTTTATTCACTGAATGACGATATTTTGATGAGTATTTTAGATATTGATAAAACATGGTTCAAAATTTGAGATGCAGTGTATAGATATATCTACATCTCTATATCTATCACTTGTTTTATTATCTCTTGCACCCATTTTGATATATTATACTTATTCCCTCAAAGAAATAATTAATAGCTAGAAGAAGATGAAAAGAGATGAAATATATTACTAAGAAGTTTTTTCTTTTTACCTACTTACCTACTAAATCTCTGTATGTGTGTATGTGTGCTTATATATATATATATATATATATATATATATATATATATATATATATATATATATATATATATATATATATATGTATGCGTGGCTGATTGGTTAGAATGTTTGCTTTCTGACCATGAGACCCAGGAAGGAGACTTCCTGACATTATTAGTCTGAGAGCGGATGATCCCAGCATGTGGTACCTTTGGAAAGTGCCTGAAAACCACACCACAGGTTAACCAAAGCCTTGTGAGTGAAATTGGGTAGACAGAACACTTGGGGGCTGTTGATAGCTGTGCTAGCACAAAGTCTCAAGTCATCTTGACCGAGTGTTTGAGTGTGCTGGTGTTGTTCAAATTGTTGATCATTCTAGATAGCATGCTCTCTCCCAGAAACTGTAAGTAAGGTCTTCTCAGCATCGTTGCAGTATAAACCACAGTTTGGCTCTGTGGGTGTTGAATAAATACAAAATATGCCGGAGCAAATCTGCAATAGGGATTGGTTAGCCACCCTATCATCAAATATGAGTGGCCAGTTATATGTGTAAAATGTGTATGCATATATATATGTGTAAAATGCGTATATCTATCTATCTATCTATCTATCTATCTATCTATCTATCTATACATATATATATATTTATATATATAATTTTATATATATTATTTATATATTATATATTTGCAGTACTTATTGGAAAGTGCTCAATATCAGTGATAGAGCTAACATATTTAGTTGGATCGATATGAGTTTGTAACCCTGGGTTTCACGCTATTTGCGGGTGTACAAACTCACATCAATCCAACTAAAAATATATATATATATATATATATATATATATATATATAATAAGCTGTTATACCACCATCATTAACTGCCTGACGAGATGTCTTTAGATGTTGAAACAAATATGCATTTTTGTCACAGTAATTTGCATGTTCCAATATAACAGTTTATAATAAATATTTATTGCTCTAGTCTTGTTATTGAGCCCTTTTTTAAATTTATGTTATGAACATTTGAATTTATATTCATTTTGTTGTTTTACATTTGTATATATATATATATATATATATATATATATATATATATATATATATATATATATATAATTGTTGTGTTAATTGCAGTAGATTGGTAGCTAGGTCTCATCATTTCACTGTTGTACCATTGTAAGTTCTATGCTAACAGTTTCTTCTCTCACACTTCTTGCTGGTGGAACTCTCTTTCAACTTCTTGCTTTCCAGTCAACTTTGATCTTCAAAAGTTTCAATGCAATGTCAATCATTATCTTCTATCGTCTTAATTCCTGTTCTTTTACTTTTCCCTCTCCTTAATGTTTTTCTTTTTCTCATATTCTTTCACACTCAGTAACCTCCTTGCATCCTAGTAGCTGTATTGCCTTGCTTGGGGTGAAATGGTTAAAGAAATAATATATCAATAAATAATAAAGTTTTAGTAGATGACATGCAAAATCACTTCTCAATTCAATAAAAAGATGAAATAATGAAAACTATATTGGAGACATGTTGAAATTAAGATGATAGAAGCAATCATTCTTTTAGAAAGTGGATAAAACCTGCAGAGGAAACAAGTGTCTGATGATTAATTTGTTTGATATTCAAATTTGAGACAAATTAAAAAGTGATGAAATTTAAGGTGACATGACATTCATATTATTTACATTGTTCAGTCTGTTGTCTTCATCTTTGTTGATATATTCACAATATTTTGGACGTTGTACTTTCCAGCCTTCTACAGATGATTAGAATTTTGAACTGAAACGTTGTGAATATGGCAACAAAAATGAGGACAACAGTCTGAACAATGTAAATAGTGTAAATAATTACAGTACCTCATCTCAGAAATAAAGATGGAGATGTTACATTCATATAAAACTTTTATTCATTGAATGAAATTTGGACATCTTTTTAATGCAATTTGAAACCTTGAATAGTAAGACATTTCTAATGTGACAATTTAAGACTTTGTTTTATCCTTTCAAAGGGATCAAAGAAATAAAAATATTAATTATAAAAAGAAATCCTTATGTGTTTTTATGGTTGGCTGATGTCATATTTGATTAAAAACAGAAATTACCAAATGGAATAAAATTTACTTTTGAACTTTCCTATCATAGAAATCAATAGATAAAAAATGGTTTATGGGAATTAAAATTTAACTAGTATTAAAATATTACCTAAATATTTTATAAAATGGAATATTAATCAATAACTGCAAAACCTTTCTATTGGAATTGTTTTGAAATGTGGAACTGTTATTATTCTTATTACCTTAGATTTATGTAGTGTACACATTTCCTTCTGGGTCCCAACCAGAAACCTAAGGTCAGAAATGGTTTCATGATATTTTCCACTGATCATTTTTGTAAAAAAATAAAAGAAAGATCACACAGGAATTCCTTCAATGAGTCTATATTATTATTTTATATTGATTTGCAGAGACTTATATCATTGTATTGGTTGGTATATTATCATCACAACATTTTATACCCACAAAAGCCACTGGTTATTATCAGATGTCTGTTGTATCTAGTAACAACCTGCTGGGAATTTCAAATTAAACTCCTTATTCAATACTTGGGGATAGATTTTTTTTCATTGTGCTGTCCATTCTAGAGAACATCTTATATCAGTTAATTAATTCACTCTTATGATGTTTCTCCCACTGAAAAAAATGAAAGGAATCCATAACTGCCAGGTAAGCAACAATCCTATCTATTTTTCCATGTGTGCTATTGAAATTAGACACCCTAAAATTACTGTTGCTTGTCTCCCTCTTTAACTGAGCCAGGATATATGACTTTAAACTACCTGCAGCATAATTAAACAACACATGCCCAGTGAAGCAATAGTCACTGTTTAATGACTATTGCTGGAAGAGTGGCCATCAGCTTATAACATGGCATCCAAATTATGAGAAATGATGAAGAGTGAAACCAGCAAGAACCTTCGTTGATCCACTCATGGCCCAAACCGGAATCAGGAAGGAAGAACTAGATAGAACTATGGATGATGGAAATACTTGGAAAGAAATGCTCGCAAGTATTTCTTTGAGAATGATCAGTATCATTAATTAATAAAATGTTCTTTTTTTCTTAATGATTTTCATATAGGTGTTTATTTCTATGCTTGGATTACTGAGGAAGTTATCAGCCTGTGCAGTAACTCTTTCAACTGCCTTATTCTCCACTATTGCTTTCTATCTGTTTTTTTTTTTAATCAATTCACCTCATGTAAGGCAATAATATCACTAAGACACAAGCGGCTACTGGGAGTGAAAGAGAATAAAAAGATTTTATAAGGAACCAGGAACTCAATTCTAAACAGAGTACAAGAGATAAACCTCTACTCCTATTCAAAGACCAAGGAGGAATGTGAACTCCTATTAAATTTTATTCTGACTTCATTCCATACAGGGTTGGTGAGTCCTACCATTTTAACTAGATAGAATTAACTGATATGAGATTTCCTTCAGAATGGACAATAGAATAAAAACATTCTATCAGCATAGATTGAATAAAAAGTTTGATTCAAAATTCTTGAAATTTTATCAATTATGACAAACAGCTGAAGAAGGTTAGCAGGTACCATATCTGAAGCATTATGATATTAATAACCAAGATGAGGATATGAGTTCGAATCAGTATATAATTGTTGTAGCATACATACGGCTGATAATGGGTATGTCCCCATTCATATAAATACAGTAGTAAATACTGTATGTTGGTCTGAAGTTGGAGATTCATTGTGGAATTCACTTGACTCACTTCTAGCAGTGCTGCTGGTGTTGTTCTTGTTCTAAGTATTATCGTTTATTACCAACCTTTGTTTGATTATTCCATTCAGTAACCTTCACTAGGTTACAACAATAAAAAAAATTACTTTACTTACAGGATGTAATTTTAAAATGAATTAGTTTTAACGGATATTCTTGTTTTATGAAGTAAATGTTGAAATTGTTAAAAGACATTAGCTGAATATTGAATATAAAAAACATTGTCTAATTCTCCTGACAATTTATGGTAATTTAAATATTTTTATTTATTTCATTCAATTCATTTTGCATGAATAAAATTGTTTTTCTGCTAATTCTCAAATTTTTAGAATTTGGTCATTAAAAAAAAATGAATGAATAAATCAAAAAATAAAATTTGACTTTTTTTACCAAAAAGTTGACAGATTTTTACTAAGAGTTTTCTCAAGTTTTCAGCTCTGTTCATGGATTTTAACCTGTTTATTTCATGTATATAGTATATCTTTTGTGTATTTTGATAGCCCCCTCCCTCCAACATTTTTATAATTTTTTACATGTATCAATCTTTATATTGATAAGCAAAATGCATGGCTTGTTACATACTTTCTTTTATTTAATATCGTTTCCTTTACAATCTCTTAATTGTTAACCTTTTTTCCCTTTTCGTAGATTTAGTCGCAGAAATTCTATCGCAGGATTTCAGATTCTTGCTGGCATTTCCTTGATATCACTGGCTGTATTGAAAGGAATTGGAGGTGAGCTTAAAGAACATTTTTTTATCAAAATAAATCCAAAAGTAATTTTCATGTAGGAAGAATGAAAGCATCTACATAAAATATAATTGTAATGAAATGTTGAGAGATTTTACTCAGTTCAGAAATATGAACATTTTATTGATATGTTACCTAAGATATTATTTATCAGTGTTGAAGATGGGTGTTGAGTTCAAATTTTATCCAAGGTTGTTGCATTTTACTTTCCCACAAATACCCTTAGAAAAGTATAAGCTCATTAGCATTCTAGTGGTTAACAGTAAGACACACTTGGCCTTCTAACTTTGGTTGGTTACCAGTCTAGGAGAAGAATGAATTCTGAATTCAAAACCTGTTGCATGTGGGGCTAACTACTCCACCCCGACAAAACCTACTTACCATAGAAACCACAGCAGTAACTCCTAATGTAATAAAGCTGTGACCTTATATGCCAACTGAGCAGTCTATAGGGATAACCTATATACTTACAGAGATGTTAGAATATGATAGAAGAGTCCATTTTGTGCTCAATACAAGAGTTATGCATTACCTACTCACTGGAGAAGAAATTTTCAAGCACGTATATATTATTAAGTTTTGAAATCCAGTAAGGAAGGTCATTTCTTGCATACTGTAGAATGCAAGAAATTCTATATTACTACGCATATATAATTCACAGCAATAATTGAAAGTTTTAAACTAATAACCTTTTGATAATATGATATAGCAATTTATGATAGTGTTTGTTAAAACCCTAATAACAATAAATATTGACAATTTTTTATCTTTATTTTTCAGAAAAGACACAAACAATGAAAATACTGACAATCACTTTTACTCTTTTTGGAATGTTGGGAGCTAGTGGTGCATTCTCTGGGGTCTGGCTGTACACTCCAGAAATCTATCCTACAAATTTGAGGTAAGTCATTTCTGAATCTTCTTGTCTAGGATGACAAGCTTGTACCTTAAAAGGAAGAAATCAGATCTGACAATGGACATCAATTGATATTAACTGAGGTTATTTTAAAAATGATAGATAAAACATTAATTAAAATAACAATGAAAAAAATTGATTCATAATATTTGTAATATAGTAAAAAATTGAGCACAAGGTTTTAGTAATAGAGCCACTCCTCAGTTAATGTTGTAGCATACCTACGGACAAGAATGGGTTTGTCCTCATTCACATAAATATGGTAGTATATACTGTGTATTGGTCTGCAGTTGGAGATTCATTATGGAATTCAATGACTCACTTTTAGCAGTTGACTACTTCTTCTATGCGCAGCTGGCAAATATTATATGTGTTGTTCTTGTCCTAAGTATTATCATTCATTACCAACCTTTGTGTGATTATTCTATTCAGTAACCTTCCCTAGGTAACAACATTTCTGGCTATCACATCCTCATTGCTAAAATGGGAAGGTTACTGAATAGAATAATGAAACAAAGGTTGGTAATGAACAATAATACTTAGGACACAAAGAACACATATAAGATTTACAGCAGCACATAGAGGAAGTAGTCAACTGCTAAAAGGGAATCAAGTGAATCAAGTGAATTCCACAATGAATCTCCAACTGCAGACCAACATACAGTATTTACTACCATATTTATGTGAATGGGACATACACATTATCATCTGTAGGTATGCTACAACAGTTAAGGATTTACTTGTTTAACAAACCCTACCCTACACTTAGTACCAACTGAAAAATCTCATAAAATAATTTTTTTTAAAAATCTAGCTAGTCTGTAATATTTGTTGTATAAAAGCTTTGATCAGAATTTTGTTTTTTCTTTTTTCAAAATAAACAAAAATAAATGAAAGTAAAAAATAAATGGGCATTTAATTGTACTGTATTTACAGGATGCAAACTGAATTAATACACAGCATTGCAGGTCACTTGCTGACTTCAAAGCTATTGTCATTCTCATGGGAGCTAAAATCATGGATCAAACTTTTCAGTGATGGTCATACACTTTAAATGAATCAACAGCCATCATGTATGTATGTTGATTCATTTAAAGTTCAATCTCAAGATTAGATAAAGTGGATACCTTTATCTACCTTGGAAACACACTCTCTGTGGATGTTTTTTTTTAGCTCAGAAATACACTGAGAAAGCTAGAAAATCTTTTTATCAGTCATATATGCTAGAAAACCTGCTGAAGTGAAATGGGCCTTTTGAGTCACATGTGCTTACTGCTGTTCAATCCCAAATTGAAGTGATGTTCACCTTCTACCAAGAAGTGTCAATTTCTATGCGTGTATACATGTTATTGATTTTATTTATGCTTTTTTTTTTCAGGAGTGCTGGAACAGGTTTAGCCTCTGCCAGTTCTCGAGTATCAAGCATGTTGGCTCCATTGACAAGATTAATGGTATGTTGAATGTTAATCAAATTTTGCTTTTATTGCTATTTTATAATTAATATTCTATATTTCATTATATATTTTCAATGCTTTTGACTTTAAAAAGAGCTGAGAGAAGAACCAAATCCAGATAATCAATAAATTAAGAATAAGGAAAAAATAAATAATTTTAATATTATCTTCTTCAAACAAAATTTAAAAGGAAATATTAGTATGAAAAACATAATTGCTTCTGTTTCAGTTTTGTTTGTGGAATCCCACATGATGCTTTTATTAATATTTGTAAATAATAATAAAAGCAGAACTTTTTTGTCTGTCTGTCTTTCATCATCAGATTTACATATTGGATGTTACTAATAGTTTGTGAAAAACATTAAATAATTCTGAATTAGTTTGATCTTTTCTCTAGTTTAGGTTGATAAGAACTGCAATTAAAAAACAAGAAATTATAAATTGTTAATAAGAGATATTAAAATATGAGAACTTCTAAATTACATTAGAGCTATATGCCAGGCATGTATGGGTGTATATATAACATCTTTGAATGCAACAAAATGCTTAATTTTTACTTTTACTTCGATGTTTAAATGGGTTCATGCCTTTTTCAAGGGTATAAGCTTGAAGTGAATGAAACAGATTCAACTGGAATTTGAACTTGGCTCACCAGTTTCACTTCCTACCCCAATAACAGTTACACTATCTGTGCATCCGAGCATTTAAACATCTCTACATTGAGCTAAAAATGAAAGTGCTTTACTCTATCTTTGGGTTAAACAGCAAGACGGACCGGGTTCTCTTGTTTTGAGGAGGCAACCAATCTAGAAGAAGGAAAACTCTGAATTCAAAACCAGCCTGAATTGAGATGGACTATCTTGCTCTAAACACACAACTGTTGCTGCAGCTGGATTACATATGGTGACCCTATAACTATAATCGGTTTTGAAATGTGCTAGAAATGGTGAGAATTAAGGAAGCTAGTCTACCATGAACCTAATCCATTACAAATCTGATACCACTAGTCTTTGAAATTAGTTCAGCACTTTAAAAAAAAAAAAATCATTCACCCCCAAACAAAGAAATAAAGCCACTATAAAGCACCTTTTTAAATCAAATGATAACTTATAACCAATTTTGTTTAATAATCAATTATTGATAATATTTTGGTATGCATGAGTTACCATTATACCTTTTACCAGATTTTGATTAACCTGCAGATATAAAAATATCAGAATGATAAATTGATAAGAAATACTTTTATCAAATGCAAAACATTCCATGTAAGATGCCTATGGAGAAATGTAGTGATTTTTCACAGTGTTATATTCCATGCTAATAGGAATATATATTTGAAAAAAAAGGTGGATAAAATAAGTAAAGGTTTATTGTAAAAACCAATACAATAAGAATAAAGGTAACAGTTATGCAGAAGTGAGTGCTACTATTAGAAGGTTGGTAGTTCTCACGTAAGTCTGAGTTGTACTCAATAGATCCCAGCTAATCTCTATAGTCTGTTGACTTACATATACTTATAGGTTGTTACTACCTATAGTGTAGTCACTCAAGGGGGTGACAGGTTATCCCATTACATCACACAGTAAAAAAGAAAAATAGATGAATCAATTGGATTATGCTTGTATCAGATGATACCTGAATTTAACTGTCATTGAATATTATATCTGATAAAACATGTCTTCTAATGTTACTCTACATAATGTTTATAGGATTTTTTTTAAACTGAAATGTTTCTATTAAGGCATAGATTTTCTTATTAGAAAAAACGATCAGGAATTTTCTGTATTCATTTTGTTGTTGTTTATTTCTACAGGCTGGCCAAGTGCCATGGGCTCCAGGCACAATATTTGGAACTGGATGTTTGATGGCTTGTGCACTTTTGTTCCTGCTTCCAGAAACAAGGGATCAGCAACTTCCACAGACAATGGAAGATCTGAAGATTCTTCAGTCTGTGAAGAATTCAAAGGTTAATGACATCGAAAAAACAGCTTCAACAACTTAATGTAATGATGCATTTGTATTTTAGTGCATTTTTTTGTTGTTTCAAACGGTTTTCAGTCATTTGGGACACTTGGAGACTTTTGATATAGAAAGATGGCCAGGTATGTTACATTGGAATGGTGTATACAAAATGTGAAACCTGGTAATCATATTAGCATTGATGATGATGATGATGATGATGATGATGATGATGATGATGATAGCAATCATGAGAAAATGGTTATAGATTAATATGCCATGATAATCAGGAATTTTCAGTATCCAGAAATTGTGTTTTTTGGTGAGAATCATTGCATTCTCTAGAATTCGTCAGTCACTCAGTACTAAAGTTACTGAAAACAGTGGCACTTTTTTTCTTTGTATAAATATCTGAAAAAAAAAGAAGAAAAAATACTATCTTCAAAAATGAAATTAATACAAAACATAAGATTTTAGTTAAAACAAATATTTTGTTGATGATTTTGCATTTCATTTTTGAGATAAGTTAATTTTCAATATTTTTTTATTTTGAACTGTCATTCTCATCTTGACTATTAGAGATGTTATTATAGACACACCATTGGTTATTTGGTTTCTTTTGTCTATAGTAGCAATTATAACAATAAGATGAGGACAATAGTTTGAAATCATTAAAATATTTTGTTATGTAAAGTCTTTTTTACTATTCATTGCTTTCTCTTGGACTAACTTCCTTATCTTTTTAACAAGTGTTTTTATTATGAATTTTGTGACATTAAATAGAATTATTTATACCATCTTGACGATCCAATTGTGAAAGGAACTCTCAAGAAAGAATACAAACAGAATTTCCTATTTTGGTCATGAAAATCTGAAACCACTTAATTGATATTTGCTTCTCTGTTTGGATAGATAAAAAGCATTTGGTAAATAATCATGCATCTGATGCATATGCATGCAGACCTGTTTGCGTAGGCATCCATCTACTCCATATAGATATATACACACATATGCATACATACACGTGAAGACAATCTATCTTGCTATCTATAACTATATATCTATATAAATCATTAATATTTCAATATATGTATATATATATATATATATACAGAGAGAGATAGACCTTACTCTCTCTATCACTCTTTCTTTCTCTCTCTCTCAATATATATATATATATATATTCAAATGTAACAAGAAGGAAAAGAACATAATTTCAAACGTTCATAGCAATACCAAGGGTAGAGCAATAATTATTTATTATAAAGATGTTACATACGGACAAAAAAAGTACTCACGACAAATTGTAAATTTTCCTTGATTATTTGTCTTTAATTTTTTAAAAGGTTAACAGATTTTAGGTAAAAATGATATCATTGCAAATGATCAGTGCTTACTTTTTGGTGATATTAAATTTGAATAATAACATTTTAGCATTTTTTTTAAAACCAAACGAATCCTGGTCATAACATTTATTATTCCAGTCGTTATGCACTTCTTAACTGTTTTTTTTTTTACTGCATAATGTTAACTGTGCAATTTCTATTTGATGATAGTACAGTTCTTACATTCAACCATGACACTTTTACAGGGAATCATACACATGCTCACAGATGCACATGCACACACTGGGTATATTTGGGAAGCAATTTCTCATTTATACTTGTTTGCTTGAAGACTAACAAAAGTTCTTAACTTAATTTTTACAATTTTTTCTTCTGTTTAGATCATTTTTCTAGTTTCCACGTAGAGTTTGTTCAATGGCTTCTGAGTGCTTTTGGTGTTCATAATCCATTATAAAATTATCTTCTGTTAGTTAATAAATTTATGCCTATAGATATGCATTATGTTTCATTGGTAATGTACAAATAGCATATCTTGATGTTTCAATGGCTTTTGCGCTGTTTTTTCCCTTTCGTCTGTATGTGGTGTTTTGTGATTTTTCTTTAGTTGCAAAATATATTTAAAACTTTAACAAATGTTTTTTATGCATTTGCTTTTCCATTTGGAGAATATTTCTCTAATGATAATGAAAATTCAAACAACACATACATTAGTTACATAGTGACTACATTATCTCATAAGTTAACTTGCCATTGATCTGATTATAGCTCCATTAAACCTGCATATTACTAATTGACACAACAAAAAACATAACAAGATATCTAACAAATATTTATGAATAATACAGAAACAGTATACCATATAAATTGTAAAAAATGGCGACATATATTAAAAGCCTTAATCATAAGACAAAGCCCACTATCAATAAAATTTCATTCAATTTGGGAATAAAGATATTAAATTAATTTTAATTAAATATGTTGCACAACCAGAAAACAACAACAACAAAAAACAGAAATCAAAACCAAATAACAAGTCAACATAAACTGATATGTACAATTGTCTTACGTTTATACATATCAGTTTATGTCTATAATAGGAACACTGTATTATTAGCCGACGTGTTTCGTTCAATGTGGATTTTTTTTTAAAGGCAAAAACGAAATGAATTTATTGAAAACAAAGTAACTATTAACAACAAAACAAAATGTCCTTAGCAGCTGGAAGAATTTAGAAAACGCTCTTGTATTCATATTGTCAATTGAAAATGACGTCATTTATATCTCAGAAACTAATCAGTAGTTGAACTAATCTCACCAACAACTTGACGTCATTTCAAGACATTAGTAAATTCATGCTGTAAAAAAAGTGCTAATTACCTTCTGCTTCCTTACCATACAATTCTGAGACAAATCTTATGAAACTAATTGTAAGCAATATTTGATTGCATGACAAGAAACAATTCTTTCTTTATATTTTGACGTAAATATTTGTATTGCTTTCAGAATAGTACCACTAAAAATGTTTTTTAAAAATTGTTTAAGAAAGTAAAAGTAACAATACCAATGATAATTTGTATTCACTCTTATTGCATAAATTCTTCTTTAAAATATTAGGCTCAACACGTGATGTGTTACACTTATGCAATATTTTTGTTATCAAATGATTTTGCTTCAGTCATATTTTTGTTGCGCAGGATTTCCTATTTTTAACCATATTTGTACAGTACTTTTCTCTCTAATGTTAAAATGATTGTGTGAAAATTGCTTTTGAAGTATTGCACAGTGTTTTGATTGTTCAATGATATTACATCAAAATTATCTAAATTACGATGGAGCCCATTTCAGTTCTTATTCATTTTTATAGCACATTTGTTGCAAGAATCACAAAGTAAATGTGTCTCCGGACTTTCTAGTTGTCATTATCTTGATTTTCATACTGTCAGAAATGAAAACAGAGATACGGATTGAAAATGTTAATTTTCCAAACATGAAAACAGAAATATTTTCTTCTCAAGAGTTTTGAAAGAGAAAGAAAATGGATAAATTCTTAAACTCTAAATTTTAGTAGCAGACTTTTTTTTTCGCCTTTTTTATCTGCATTAAATTTTTTTTTAGATATTTTTTGTTCCAAGTTGTATGTCATTTTGAAGGTAAAAACTGATAAAAACCTATAAAAAAACAAAAACAAGATAAGGTTAAATATTGCCAGTGAAATTGAATTTTAAATATAATGAAAGAGAACAGATTACTAAAATTAAAAAAATTAAGATAAATAAAATAGCGTATTGTGAAAAATTATTTGAACTTTGAAATTCTAGGAAGCATTCTTTTGGATTTGCAATTGTTAAATAAATTCATACAGTTACTGAAGAACAATGACTAATTAAAAATTTATAGTTAACGAAGCATATTGACTAGGTAAAGAAAACTATACAGTTGTTTAAGCACAGTCACTAGCTAAAGAAGCTGATACAATTATTGAAGTACAGTGATAAGCTAAAAAAATTTACAGTCACTGAAGGACATTGACGAGTTATTATGAAAATGAAAGCTACAACAATAAATAAGTCAACATATTTTTGTAAGAAGTGCTTCTACCCATAAATGAATGTTTCTTTTGGTTTCAATGCTAAAATCAATGAACAAAAAATATGTGAATTTTGAGAATATCAAATGCAATGATATGATAAAGATATCTTTTTGAATGAAGTTAGTTACATTGCAGAAAATCCTGAATAGTATGTTTAGTCTTTGAAATACTGATTTTGAGAAGTTGGATGGACCGAGAACTTTTCAAAACCTGTAGTATTTCTTATGCACCGTGTGCGTGCATTTGATAGATAGATATAGAGAGAGCGAGATGACACACACACACACATACACACACACACACACACACACACACATATATATATATATTTGTGTATTTAGGCAGCAATCCTTCTTTCATGCACATTTCATTGAATACGACAGACAAGGTCCTTTGGTTTAATTTTTTATACAATTTCTCATGCGATCTAACAATATTTTTCTTTTCGGATGATAAATTATATCAAAATTGTCCAACTGTTCTTTTTATCCGAGCGTTTTCGGCTATACATTTAGCCATTTTCAAGGTGTAAATATATTAACTGTTTTCAAGAAATAGTTTTTTGTATGCATTTATATAATGTTTTAATTTTCAAAACATGGTCAAGATAGTGTGTCCATGTTCATAGTTGATATTATTCAGTGTTGATTTTTTTGTATTTATTAATAAGGCTTCCATTATTTTTAGCCTTTTTTTGCAGGTAGACAACACAAATATAATAGCATCATCTAAATCAAAGCACCTTGTCTGTCGTATTCAATGAAATATATATATATATATATATATATATATAGAGAGAGAGAGAGAGAGAGGATAGATAGATAGATAGATATGAGAGAGAGATAGCGAAGTTAGAAATAGAAAGCGATAGAGATAGATAAATAGATAGATAGATATGAGAGAGAGAAGAGATATGAGAGAGAGAGAGAGAGAGAGAGAGAGCGAAGATAGATATAGAAAGCGATAGAGATAGATATGAGAGAGAGGAAAGATAGAGAGAGAGAGAGAGAGAGAGAGAGCGAAGATAGATATAGAAAATGATAGATAGATAGATAGATAGATAGATAGATAGATAGATAGGGGAGAGAGGAGAGATAGAGAGAAATA